TATTGATCCTTTCACAATTAAATTAATTTGCAAAAAATAAAAAACAAGAGCTTTAAGGAAGTAAAGTTTAAGAAAATCGACTCAAGAACAAATTTCATTACAAAGCTCTACTGTCAAATATAGACCTAACCATTGTTAAGGTGGAGAACTGAACCAAGAATTTTCTTTCTTAATGATCAATCGAATTATTGTTCGCAACTCATGATTCTATTTTATCATCACTCCAATCCTTGTTCACATTTTTTTTTTCCTTATCAATTGGTATGTCTTGGATATTCAATACTAAAATAAAAATATAATATTAAAATTTACTATCCACAATAGAAGAAAAACTTGACAAATGCAAATTACAAAAATTTGAAAAAAATGATAAGAAATAATTCACGTGCAATGCACATGGGCACCAACTAGTAAAAGATAAAAGTGAGTTTGGTGTTCTTTTCCTTTATTGATAGTTATTAATAATTAATATCATTTTTCTCTTTAACCACCTGTAACTTTCCCTCTACAATATTTAACAATTTAGATTTATCTATTATAATTCCTTTCCACTTTCATATCCATCTCCTTCTTCTTATCTTCATATGGTACCATGTGTGCACAACTTTTTAGTATTTTTGTTCGATATGATCTAATTCATATAGTCGACATATTTTATTTCTAGACTTCATATCATAATCAATTAAAATCAAGATGGCCAATGAAATCAAATGTGTTGAAGTTTAACAATTTTATATTTAAATTTTAAATCAATAAATTGATTAATTATTTAATTTTAAATCAAATGTATTAATTGGATTATCATGTAAATTTTTCGCTTATTGTCATAATTATTTAATTTTTCTCGCTTATTAAAAAATTCACAATTATTATACATTTTACGAAAAATTTTAGTGTGATTTAGTTTTAACGTTTTAGTGGTTTTAGGATTAGACAAGATAAGACAATCAATTAGGTGCAATTAGAAAATCGAGAATTTATAGATGAATAAATTGATTGGAATCTTAAAGAGAGAACAATAGAGTTACAGAAAAGGACAAAGAGTAATTAGAGTGGGAGGGATATAAAGACTTGGAGAGGGATGGTGAGAGTGGAGAAAAAGAGTGTGAAAGGAAGATAAAGACAAATGGTGAGAGCAAGATAATTAGAGTGGGAGTGAGATAAAGACTTGGGGAGAGATCGTGAGAGCGAAAAAAAAAGTGTGAAAGGAATTTGAGAAAGAGTGCTACTTATAACGCTAGAAGTAGTTACTTTTAGGTTTTTAGAAGACATTATTATATTTTAGGGTTTTCTATAAAACTTTGCATAAACTTGTGAAAATATTGTTATAATTTAGGGCTTTTTATAAAGCTTTACCTAAACTTGTTAAATACATTAGGTGTTTAACTTGGTCCAGTCAAAATAGTCTCAGAATATGAAATTGAACTAACAGCTGAAAATTAAATTGAGCTCCTAAATTTCTAGGTCTCTAGGCAAATATTTTAATAGTTGGACCTTAGGGTCAACCTTGTTGTGCCTCATCCCATTCAAAAGATCAACGTGTTTGCATCTCGGAACGGAACGATCACAGTCTGTGAGTTCCTTACCGACAAGTAGATTAATGTTTTATATTTTTAGTTATTTAAAAAAGAATTGTACTTATAATAGATAAAAATAAAATAAAAAGTGGGGTTTAAAAGGGAAAGAGGATGAAAATAAATAGTTTGGTTTATATTTTAATTCTCGATAAGGAAAAAAATATAGATAAAAAGAAAAAGCGTGTGTGTAAAATAGAGAAAATGACTAGTAATATCTAATATACACTATTTTTTATACCTTTTCAACCTTATTATTTTTTTTTTGCCAAATTTAATTTGGTGTGTCATTGGGCAAGACTTTTGGACCCAAATCATTTAATTAAGATTTTTTTATTGTTTAAATTTTTAATTGAGTTTTTTGTTAAACTTAATTTTTATAGGTTTTAATTTTTGGTATGAACTATGTTTTATAAACCTATAAATTTAGGTCCTCTTATTTAGCTGGGGCCTAAAACATGTGCTTTGTATATGGGGTGGCCTTGCTATATAGAAAGCAAAGAGAGAGAGAGAAAAAATGGAGATGGAGAGGGGTTTGAGACAGAGATGTTTTTATAACTAAATTCAGGTAGTTAGGAAATCTGTTATGAGAAATTTCAAGAAAAAAGGCTAGTCTGTCTCTAAGCGGTGAAATCTATCTATAATTAAGGGTCTTTAAGTTTAGAAGCATGCATACAAGATGAAAAGAGGTAGTTAAGAAATCTGTTATGAGAAATTTCAAGAAAAAAGGCTAGTCTGTCTCTAAGCGGTGAAACTTATCTATAATTAAGGGTCTTTAAGTTTAGAAGCATGCATACAAGATGAAAAGAGAATCGTGGAATCCTATCCCAAAGGCAGAAAAAGAATCTCCAGAAAGACTAAAAAGATGGGTCGTTTAGGATTCAAGATATCCATAGTCAACTCATGGATATTCACTTTGCAAAAAAATGAAAGCTTGAAAATTTGTGAGATCTGCTCGCCGCTTGAATGTTGCCGCTTAAGACTTTTGAACGTCACTCTTTACAGACATCTCTCTCGATAGGGCAGTGAATGCAAAAATTTTAAAAATGGGGTAGTCAATTCGATACGATCTGTGCGTGCAGGATCTTGCACAATATAAACACGAGAACAGATCTCTCCCATGGTGAACTCGAGTCAGTCAGTCAAATGGTCAACCTTGCTATTTGGAACAGGCTGATATCCGTTGGCGGCCTGGAACGGTAATGGGTGACTTTTGTGGATCAAATGAGCGGTCCAGTAAGACTGAATGACGTTCTTGGAACATAGAAAGACAAGTTAGAAGGGCGCCGGAGTGTTTTTTGGCGTATCCCCTCCGACGATCAAGTCAGTTTTTGAGAAAGGGGAAGAAGAAAACACTGAGTATAGATTTGAGGAAAGGTTTTTCGTTGCATCCCATCTTGCTTTTTGTGAGGATTATTTATACCTCAAAAACTCATGATTGCTGTCAGTGTGGTCAGTAGGTGATCATTAGATACGAGCAACGTGCGCACTGATTCCTATGAGGAATGTCTTCTCTTTTAACTGCTCGGGATCCTGAGCAACCTAGGCTGCGTCATCGCCGTGCCGACTGTTAAATAAGCTCCTCTTGGCAAGGATGTAATAAATGTCCAATCTTAGAAATATTTATTACCTTTCACTTTCGAGCCTTACCCGCATTAAATGCTATCTCATCAAGGGAATGATGTAATTAAATGCTTGCTTTTCCAAGTCGTGTGTCAGCAAGGGCATCCGGTCTTTTTTATCTCTGATGTGACATAATATGCCACACGCCCATTCTCCATTGGCTGTGTCTTCTGCCTTCTTGTGCCTTCTGACACCAATTGTGTAAGACGAGGTCATGATGGCTAACCTAGCCTAGCCTAGGCTAGTGACCTATACATCAATAGCCTCTGCAGGAGCAGCGAACGCCATCCTGGATAAGTATATCTCTGTACCGAGGGGAGTGGTACATGTAGGGACCGATGTACCCATATTCGACCGAGGGATACGTGTCGGTACATAACGTACTGGGTGTCATTGATCTCTATAAACAGTACCTCGGGGGAACAGGGACTTGTGATCTGACGGGTACGTGTCGTGATTATAGTAACAAGAATTTACTGATGTCGAGGACACGTGTCTTCATCTTAGAGTATTTGAAAATGTCCCATTAACTGCCTCCCAGCCTTCGATCTCCTGACACTTAGGACACGTGTCGTAAGGAGACGAAGGGTTCTGCAACTACCCCAACTACTTCATCATTGCCTTCAGCCACTTTCCCCTACTTCGGAGGTCGTGCGCATTAAATGCGCCTCTTCGTGCTTCGTGCCCAAATGATGGGGATGAGTACTATATAAATGAGCTTCCTCTCTCCCTCTCTCCCTCTCTTACTTTACCATTTCGGATTTCTTTAGAGAGCCCTTGGTTAAAACCTCACCGGAGATCCCTTTCCCTTTGTTGTCTACTGTCCAATCTTTCACCGGAGTCTTAAAGCCAGCAGACCCATCCTTGCCTCTGAACATTCTGGAGGAAGGAGTCGCTTCAAGTTTCAAGAAAAACTTCCTTTTACGTTCTGGTGAGTCTTTGTATCTTCTCTTCTTCTCATTTTTTTGTTCCTCTGATTTGATCGTCGAAGGGGATACGCCGAAAAACACTCCGACGCCCTTCTAACTTGTCTTTCTCTGTTCCAGGAACCTCCCTCAGCCTTGTTGGACCACTCCTTTGATCCACGAAAGTCACCCATTACCGTTCCAGGCCGCCAACGGATATCAGCCTGTTCCAAATAGCAAGGTTGACCATTTGACTGACTGACTCAAGTTTACCACGGGAAAGATCTGTTCTTGTATTTATATTGTGCAAGATCCTGCACGCACACAATCATATATAAAAATTTAATTGGAAATGTTAAATATCTATTCAATGTCAAAAATCATTCAACTCATATAAGACTCGTTTATTAAACAAGTGCAAATCGCACAATCGAATACGATTCGTTTATTAATTAAACAAATTATACGACATGATCCAAATTATCCACTAATTCTACAACACAAAAATTCTTACTTAAAACCCCTAATTTTGTAATAAATTAGGTCATCAAAATGTGTTCAATCTATATTCAATGCATTTATAATCATATATAATTTGATTTGTATTTTATTGTATTGTATTAATCCGACTATATACCTTAAATAAATCATCAAGTCTAAACTCAGTTAAACAGTTGAAGAGGGTAGTTTAGTCATTTCAACCGGCGTTGGAGGCGTCCACCGTCATTGGAGATATAAAACAAGGACTTCCCCGTAATTTAACATTGTTCCGCCGGAATGGACAAACGGAGAGACTCGAATTCAAAGGAGGGGTTTCGCGAAGGGAGAGAAGAGAAAATAGAGCGTTTTACCGTTGGGGCTTCCTTCTAAATTTAAATATAACGGTCTTCTTCCCGCCATGGCAATGGTAGCTGAGGTCGAGGGATCAGGCTCGCTCAGTGACATTGACCACATAGAGAAGACCAAGACCTTGATTTTTGCCCTTAACCTTCTCTCTCGTAACCTCCCTCTTCCTCAAGATGTCTTCGATGCCGTCTCATCCATCTATCATGGCGTTGACGACGATGAAAACGACGGTTTTTTTGCTGCTGCTGATGGTGACGGTGCCGGTGGATCTGATGTTGACGTTGATAAGGTTTGGTTTCTTTGATTTTTCTTCTTGGGATTGAGGTCACTTTTATCGATGTGATTCACTAGGTTAGGGTTGTTCAGGGCCTATATGTCTTGTGAATTTAGGTGCTTTGTGTTGTTCTGTTGTAACTTGTAAGTGTTGCTGGGTTGATGAGTTCATAAATTCCATTAATTTGGTGTTGTTCCTTTTCTCGAGAAGTATAGTTTTTTTTTGTTTTTTGAAGTATTCTAAATGGTTTAATGCTTTGAATTGTGTCTATGTTATTGAGAGATTCAATATGCTTCTGGATATAGGTTCTTAACTAGCCAATGCCAAGCAAATTTGGCTCTATTGTTTCGTTTTTGGGAAATCAATTGGTAAATATTTTGGAGATGCGGAGTTGTTTATGCAAAAAACGCATTATTGTATGATTTTCATTTGTAGGCTCTGATTTGACATTTGGCATTTGGGTTCACTTGATCAGGATAGTTCTGGGATTTCAAACAAGACGGATTTGATGACCGAGTTTGAGGATGCATTGGAAAAGCAACGGCCAAATTGCATATCAAGTTTTGGATTGACTGAATTGAGGGAAAATCGTGTCCAGAGCCACATTGACCGCCGTTTAACTGAACTTGAAGGTCTACAGTTTGCAAAGAATGTTAACATCTTTGAACTTCATTTTGTAATTTGTAGAAAGGATTTCCAATTTGATGACAACTTTCTTGTTGAAAAAGGAAAAAAAATAGCTGCGAACTTGTGCATGCAGTTGTACATTTGATGGTGTTAGAGTACACTTGTTGACACTTTTTCATATGAGATCATGGTATGCACAACTGTTAGGTTGGAAAGAAAAATAATAAAAGAGTCATACTATGCATGTGCAATCACCAGTTTACAGTACAGAGTGTTTAGTGGTGATGCGTCCTTGTCAACAATCAGTATTAGTATGATCTTTATTATGGTCTCAAAGTAGCATCAGATAGATGCAATCCACCTATATTAAGATTATGTTATTTATTTTTTTCTTATAGTAACTTTGCCTTTAACATGGTGCGTTTAATTTTTGGACTATGCTTGTCTTACTTTACTTTGTCTCTTTCCCCCTTCTATGGTGGGTCGGGGAAAAAGATGATGCTGGGTATTCTTATTTAAATATCAGTATTTAGTACAGTAACTGACTTACCAGTTCAAAAACATTTACCCTTTCTGTGGAGGTGCTCATAGCATACTGACAGAGGTAGAGTAAAAGTTTGGTATTAATGATCAGACTTGCTATCTGATACTCTTCCACTACTCTTAGATTTTACACAATCTTTTGGGAAGGTTGCTAATGCATTAATTTTGATCCAGATTTGTCAACTAGCAGAGGAGAGGACCTACAATCGAAGTGCTTGCTTGAACTATATGGACTAAAGGTAGACGTGATTTTCAAAGTGATAAATGTATTTTTTATTGCTTAATTGCGTATGGAGTTCATGTGGATGACACACAAAGCCAATGGTAGTCATCTCAGCTAATGGAAAGGCAGCACTTGATTGCATTTTTGGTGAAATGGTTCTTGTGTCGAAAATATGTTCAGCTGCATAAGGGAAAATTAATGTCTAGATTTGAAATCTAAACGAAGACAAACTTGCTTTCTGATTTCTAGTGGTTGCTTTATTTGGAGCATCTTAAACTCTGCCTTGTGATTCGAAACCAAGTGCAGCCTAAATATTGTCATTGATCCCGACCACTGTTATATCGCTTGTTTCCTACTTCTATGATTATTGAGTCATCTGAAAATCTAAACAAGATGTGTTTTTTTTCCATGCACGTGGCCTCATGTGTGCTTTAATCTTTGTGTATATGCTATCAATGATTTGCGCCTTTTTAACAATGATTTTTTCCCTGCCAGCTAGCACAGTTGCAGAGCAAAGTTAGGTTTGACGTGAGTTCAGAATACTGGCTTCGTGTAAATTGTGTGTATCCTGACAAGCAATTGTTTGATTGGGGCATGATGCGATTGCGTCGCCCTCCATATGGTGTGGGAGATGCTTTTACTGTGGATGCTGAAGATCCTCTAAAGAAGAAACGGGGTGTTGAGGTCATTTTGTTGTTTACATTTTACTTATTTTAGCTTCAGAGTCTTACTTTTGGAAGATGAATTTAAGAATATAGACCCCATGGGCCATGGCTTGTGGGTGATATCATTATCCTTTTCTTCAACACAATGAGAATACAATTAGGTTTACGGGCCTAAACAAAATGCAACCGAGCAGAATTTGATTGTAAACAAATGCAAGGGCTTAAAAAGGCAATGCTTGTATTTAGTCTACCAGATCAACTTTTTCCCTTGTGGATACCTGGAAGGTGCCGTTAATCAATGAGTCCAAGCTTTGGAAGTTTATGGACGAGACCTGATGTTTGTGAGTCTAGCCTATAGTCTTGTTGGCTGAGAAGTTTTATATTGTGCAATTGCAAGTATAGAACTAATTTCCAGTAAATCGCTGATGAGTGAAACTCCTTGCTGCAGCGGCTGTCAAGATTAGAGGAAGAGGAAAAGAACCGCGTCGAAACTAGGAAAAGGAAATTCTTTGCGGACTTACTCAATGCAGCACGTGAATTGCAATTGCAAGTACAGGCTGCTCAGAGACGGCGCAAACAAAGGAATGATGGTGTTCAGGCATGTTATTCGTATCTTTATGTTTTGCCTATTTTTCAGCATATTTTTGTTTCTTTTTTTTTTGATTTTTTTTTATCACAGTGGAATTGAAAATTGGTCATAGCATGGGGACGAAATGGGAATTTCATGTGGATGGTATAGGTGGGGATGTGATGCCAGTTAACTTGAAAACACGGGGAATATCGATTGGCAAATTTTTTTTTTGCTTACAGTTTTTACCATTTTTATCTGTTTCTTGAGGTGGTTAATGCAGAGAACAGCACTGAAGTTTGGGAAACCAAACAGCTTAGACAAATCCAAAATGGAAATTTGTAGAAATAGAAAAGAAATAGAGAAACTTGTCTGAACCGTTCATAAGTCATTGCAGCAAAAGGCTTGAAACATGAAAAGATTACGGTATTTGTGGGAAATGTCCCCTGCTTGATTTTTGGGAAAGAATATTTGGAACCATTCTGAATGTTTCTGAGACATTCTTAATGAGTGCTCCTGAGTCTTGTGTTCTTCCTAGAGAAATACTTAGTATTCCTTCTAAGAAGTTACTGAACATCAACTTATTAAGTTATCAGTAAGGAAAAGCAATATTCCTCCTTTTCCCTATTTTGATCAAATCTCTCATTTTTCGACCAGCATTGTAGCTTTATTTGACTTTAGAGGACTTCAAATTTGTTATGTTTCACATTAAATATTTTCCAAATGCAAATGAAACTTAACAATAAACAAGTTCATTTGAACCTTTAAATTTAAACAGGCTTGGCATGGAAGGCAAAGACAACGTGCTACACGGGCAGAGAAATTGAGGTTCCAAGCTCTGAAAGCTGATGATCAAGAAGCTTACATGAAAATGGTTGAGGAGAGCAAAAATGAACGATTAACAATGCTTTTGGGAAAAACCAATGATCTACTTGTTCGTTTGGGGGCTGCTGTTCAACGTCAAAAAGATGCTGAACATGATGCAATTGAACCCTTGAAAGGCTCAGACTCTGACCTGCCTGAGTTGTCTACCACAAAGATTGAAACCCCTGGGGATTCACTTCCTGAGGAAGATGATGATGCTATTGATGACGAGCTTGATCAGCGTGTTAAGACAGGTGATCTGCTTCAAGGCCAGCGGCAGTATAATTCAGTTGTTCATTCTATTGAGGAGAAGGTAAATAATGAAGTTTGATTGCCTGCTTACTTTTTTTTTTTTAATTCTGTTTTTCCAATGCCTTTAGCTTTTCTCATGTATTTGAACTTATGCTGTTAAATTTGTTGATCCAGTTTCTTGGTTGCATTATTATTTTTGTCTACGCAAAGATGTAAAGAGTTGATGGCTGGTCAAATATATTACCAGCATAAAGGATCATGTTGTCTCAGATAGTGTCCATAAAAGAGGTGGATACTAGAATGAATGCCCTTGAGCAGTACCACATTTATTTCTTTGAATTTAAGCATAATAGGGCATGTCTTAGCTGCCAAACACTTCGTTGTTCAACTTGTACTCATGCCTGAATATGCTATTGTAATGAAAACAGCACATAAATACCAGGAAAAAAAAGAAGGCAAACAGCACATAATTTATGCCCCTTTTACTGCTAGTTATGAAAGTCATAATTTTGTTTAAGCATAGAATCTCAAAAAAATTTCAATCCTACAGGTAACAGAGCAGCCATCCATGCTTCAGGGTGGAGAACTAAGACCCTACCAATTAGAAGGGCTTCAATGGATGTTGTCATTGTGCAATAACAATCTAAATGGAATTTTAGCAGATGAAATGGGGTTGGGAAAGACAATTCAAACCATTTCTTTGATAGCATATCTCATGGAAAACAAGGGTGTGACGGGGCCCCATCTGATCGTGGCTCCAAAGGCTGTACTACCAAATTGGATACATGAATTTTCAACATGGGCTCCTAGGTATATGTTTAAGTCTCTGTGTGTGTGTGTGTGTGTGTGCAATGTGCCTACATGCACGTGCAGCCCCTTGTTTGTGTGCATGCTTGCTCACATGCTTGTGCATGCATGCACCAGCACTCAATATTCACTTTCAAATCATATATGGATTTTCTTCTTATTTCAGCATCGTTGCTGTTCTTTATGACGGACGCCTAGATGAGAGAAAGGTGATGAGGGAAGAATATTCAGGAGAGGGAAAGTTCAATGTGTTGATCACCCACTATGATCTTATTATGAGAGACAAAGCCTTCCTGAAGAAAATTCACTGGTACTACATGATTGTTGATGAAGGACATCGGTTGAAAAATCATGAATCTGCTCTTGCACGAACTCTTGTTTCAGGGTATGCTGCATGCAAAATATAGTCCTTGTTTATTTTTTCCCTTTTAAGTTTGTGTACTAATTGGCAATTGTCTATGGTACTATCATTTTTGGACGATGAGTTATATTTTCATTGTTAGTTTTGTTTATTCCCACGCATGATCATGCTATATTTTTTGGAGAACTACTTACATGTTACCTTTCCTGTTCTTCTTATGTGATTTTGGGTGCAGCCATACATGTCCTTCAAAATGTATCATCTTAAGTTCTGGTTTTTTTTTTTTTATTTGTATATGTAAATGTCTTTGGACTTTTGAAGAAACTATTTGTAATTTCTTTGTTTTATAAATTTGAAGCAATTTCCCATCACAAGTATGATCTGACGTAGCTTTAGCTAATCTGTGTTGTGATATTGTCCAATTTGTTCTTAATTGTAGGTCATAAAAAGGGTTGCATGTCACTTGAAAATCAACATAGAGTATGTACAAGTACAAAAGAGTTAGCCTTTGTTTGTAGACCATGTTAGAGCACTGAACATCCTAGTTGCTGTGGCATCCCGAGCACGCATCGGTCAACAATCATGTTTCACCTTGGGCAATTCTTTCTTATGTACCTTTGTATATGGATTTCTTATGCAACTATTATTCTATAGACTGTACATTTCATAATGCTTTTTGATGCAACTTGAGATGTTCACATTGGCTATCAATTTTCTTAAATTTTTGCTGTATGGCGGGTACAATAAATTAAATTGTGAACATCTTTTAACTCAGCATGGGAAGTGTCCCAGTTGCAACTGAAATCCTCCCATTTCGATGCTGCTTCCCAACAAATTGCCTTTGGTGAATCAGTTTATTGTGGCATTGTTAGAACATCCAACAAAACCAATTGACAATGAATTTAGTGACCTCTTAAGTTTATAAACCAACCTTGGTGGTCCTAATTATCCAAGGTGGGATACAAGCTCTCTTAATACTTTCCCTCACGTTGGGCATGGGTGCGTGGGGTTAGCAAACAAACAAACAACTATACATACCGGAAAATTCAAATGGGTAAAAAACTTGACCCACTGACTACCCATGACATGGGTCATTATCATGTTAGAGCATCCAACTCAAAACCAATTGGCAATGGGTGAAGTGACCCATTGAGTATGTAAACCAATCTTGGTGGTCCTAATTATCCGATGTAAGATACAAGCTCTCTTAACAATCTTGACCGTTGCTATTAGCCAAATCTGTTTGAGAAATTTAAGCCTATGAGGAAGAACCATTTGTAGAAGAACAATGACCATCTTTTGGTCTGAATTTTCAATGTTTATCCACAAACTTCTTTGGGCACTACTTTGTTTTTCAGTAGTTAAAATATCTTAGACAATGTGACCAAAACAAAAAACTTTCTGGAGAAACATGAAGAGCATGGCTACAACCATCACACTGGAGAATCAGAGAAACTTTCTGTAAATGGAGACTGCAGCTTTAGGAAAACAAGTGTTAAGAGTTTATTATAGGATATATAACAAAAAAGAGTTGCTGATTATTTGTCAGATAGTAATTTCACCTATTTTGGAAGATTTTGAGTGCATTAGGTCACTTTGTTAGCGCAGATATTATTGTTTTTTTTTTCTTCCTTTCTATTGCTTTTTTCCTTTTAGCCTGCCTTGTTCTGATTGATTTCTGCTGAAATTTCCAATGATGGGAACCCTTGGAATATTCTCAACTCAACTCAATAAAATCTTATCCCAAGTCCGAAGTCCTAGGTACTTAGGTTTGGCTGCGTCAAATCTATGTCTATGGTTAAATTTTCTGTGTTTAATCACATAAATTATGGTCTTCCACTTCCCAAGCATTACTACTAGTGGTGATCATGTCGTTCTGAGAGACCGATGCCGTTTTTTGTTTTATTTGCACGTGCCAGAACTATGTTACTGGATTTTGTCTCAATATATCTCCTTTTTATTCTACGTCTACGAGATAAACATTTTTTTCTTTCTCTATTTTGATTCTTCTTGTATATTCTTGCTCTTTCATTTCTGACTGTCTGCAGATCTTCTGCCATTGGCAGATACTTTCTGCTCAATATTCATCTCAATAGTGAAATGAAAAAATGAAATCTTGCTTGAGAGTTTTATCCATCCACTGAAGGATTTGATTTGTGTTTCTGACATAATTCCGCCCTGAAAACTCAACCTGAGGAATCTTACCTTCAAATTTAGGAAATTCAATTATGATTGTTCGACCATCAATTGCAACCCAATTTGCATCAGCCACAATAACTCCATCTGCTTTTATGGCCTTGTGACTTATTTTTTAAGACCCCCGAAGGTCCTTGAAATTTTTCATAAATCTAATAGGTTTCAGTTCTCTCGATCACTCCTGCAACTTCAGCCATTGATGTAATAAGTTGCCTTGTTGCTGGCCTATCTTGTCCAACGTTTTATCTTGAAGATCCATTCATTTAGCAAGCTTCTTTATCAACTCTACTGCCAGCCCTTTGGCTTTCATGGCATGAGCCAAGGCTCTGAATATAGAAATGTAGCAAGAATAAGAAAGACATATCGATCTCTTGGGTTGGTGGTGGTTCACCTAAAATTACTTCGAGGGTGATAAGCCTCATTAAGAAACAAGCTTTTTTCTTCTTTGCCAATAACGGTTAGTTTATATAATTTGTTCCTACTTCTAAGCCTACTTTTTTTTTTCCCTAAAAACATGTTGCTAAACTAACTCCTAAGCCTTGTAGTAAAAGGAAACAAATCCAAGATAGAGTTTAATCTTGATGTTAAGATGTACCACTGAACCACTTTGATGTGCTATGTAACTGGTATTTTTCTCTTAATCAAAATCCTTCATTGGATTGAAACTGTATTCCACATCAACTTTTGATGTCAGAACAGAAACTAATTCATATTATTATTTTCATGGTCGAATGAGGGTGGTAATTTCAACTAGACAATTGTCACATCCAGGCAGCAGAATAAGAAAACTTCAAAAACAATTTTAGTGTAAAACCCCACTAAATCTACATCTCTAGTTAGTTGGTGTCAACCAAAAGTCATTCTGATGCCATCCTGCAGTAGCTTAGAAGAGATGCAAAGTGACCTATATAAATACAGCCGCTTGTGTTAGCTATTGGATGTCTGAGTCAATCAAGTTCAATTTCACAGTCTATGTTCTTGAAAAAGTACAGAATTACGGTGCAATCCCTCAAATTTGGTGATCACTGGAAACAGAAAAATCAGAACCTCTTGTATAGCAAACTGAACTTTGTTTAGGTCCAGATGATGTTTTTTAGAATGCTTCCTGACAAGCAAAAACTGCCCTACGTGTATGCATTTGAGGTTGAATGGTATTTTTAACATATAGATTTGTATCAAAGAATTTCAAGCCCAATTAATTGTTATGCAGGCTAAACTAATCTGTTGTTTTCTTAGACTAGATTGATAGTTCAACTAGTTTTCTTGCTTGGTGCCAAGCCTCTAATCTCTGAAGGGAGCAAAATGAAATATCCAACCTTTAAGTTTATATGGTGATAATGTGGTAGAAGTTGCTTCTAAGTGCACATGTGATACAAAAAATTGAAAGTATGTGGGAGTGGGGCAGGGAGAAAATCCTTGTCCTTTTACTCAGGAAATTCTTCTTCTTCTTCTTCTTCGTCTTCCTTTTTTTTTTTTGGGGGGGAGGGGACTTCAGACAAATCACAGTTGGGAAATAGGAAAAAGTTGTGAGTTGTGAGAACTTCACATAATTGTTACTGTCACTTGGCAAATACTATATGCTTTGAAGGAACATTTCAAACCTTTGGGGGGCAGTCCCTGCCACCAACCAGTCATTGTTGTGTTTCTATTCCTTTATATTCATTCTGATCATTTTCTTCAATCGTCAAGCTCTCATAAATATGTTGCCAGAAGAATGTGAGTGGGGGTTCTCTAATTGAATTCATACCTTATGCAGATATCGGATTCGGCGTAGACTTCTGTTGACTGGTACCCCAATACAGAATAGTTTACAGGAACTATGGTCTCTTCTTAATTTTCTCCTTCCAACCATTTTTAATTCGGTTGAGAATTTTGAGGAGTGGTTCAATGCCCCCTTTGCAGACAAATGTGACGTCTCTTTGACAGATGAAGAAGAGTTATTGGTCATTCGCCGTTTGCACCATGTAGGTGTTGGCTCCTAGAGTACCAGTTGTTTTTGTTCTTCTAAACTTCCTCTTTGTAATGCATATATTTTTCCTTTTAATTCCCAGGTTATAAGGCCATTCATATTGAGGAGGAAAAAGGATGAGGTGGAGAAGTACCTTCCTGGGAAAACACAGGTCATATTGAAATGTGACATGTCAGCATGGCAGAAAGAATACTATCAGCAAGTCACGGGTGTGGGAAGGGTTGGGCTGGATAATGGTAAGTAGATTCACCTTCAAAACTACTTATTTGTGTCTTGAAATAACGGAACAAGAATAATGGATGCTGTCCTTGTCTTTAGATCTAGTTTTATTGTATATGATTTAGAGACCTTATTCAACATTTATTCTCATACTGGACTCAATCTGGAATTATCTCTGACCGTTTCATCATGGCGTTCTGCTCTCTCTCTCTCTCTCTCTAAGAGTGACCGCTTCACTCTGAATAGCACAGCATCTTTAGCATATTATGCATTCTTTCTACGAAGTTTTAAATCTGTTGTAAACTGGGATCCACTTGTTTACTTCACAATTTGTAAATGGCTGAGTGGTTGTATAAAATTTGCAGTACAAACTTGTTATATTTTCCTCCTTTGGTTGTGCTCTTACTTCTTGAAAATAATATTTACCTTATTATGTATTGATGCATTTGTTTCGGTTTTTCCATCTTTTTTACAATTAGCATTCAGTGGATTCAATTTATAAATTTTCTCTTCTTGGCACAATCAAACATGTATAGTTTTTGTACCATTTAATTCAGAGTGTTCTGCATTTTAAGTATTTATCAAGACAATCTGGTTAGAAATTTTGGTAGCTAATTTTAGTGCAGCTCTCATTATTGATTATCGAACCAATCAAAAGTCCTGCAGACGGTCAACTTTTTGTTCCCATGTTTGTTTAAAAAGCAAACAATAGTGACGTCTATTTAGTTGGGAACGGGACTATAATTTTGTTTCTGCTGTCAATGCAGTTGTACACTTGTACTCATTCTTCCACTCTATTCTGTATTGATTTGACATCTCATCAAAGTCTCATTTTCATTGTGATTTATATCACCAGCTTCCTTGTGATTCCTTGTTCCTTCTTTTTTTACTATTTCTGTTTTTTTTGGTGGTTTGGGTGGGGGGAGGGGGTTGAGGATATGTTTGGGGGTTATCAGAAAACGGGCAGAGAAAGGGGGCCAACTGCCACTATTGAACCTTGCTTCTGCTTGAGAGGGTGGCCACTGGCCATTCTGTTCTCTTGGTGACTCTTAACTTCTGCAGTAATCTAACTTGTTGAATGAGAAAAAATTGCCACCTATTTTCTGATAAAATGAATTTGCAGGAAATGGGAAGTCTAAGAGTTTGCAGAACCTGTCGATGCAGCTGAGAAAGTGTTGTAACCACCCATACCTTTTTGTGGGTGAATATAATATGTGGCGCAAAGAAGAGATAGCCAGAGCATCGGGAAAATTTGAGTTACTTGATCGTCTACTCCCCAAACTGCGTAGATCTGGGCATAGAGTCCTCCTTTTCTCTCAGATGACCCGTCTAATGGATATTCTTGAAATTTATTTGCAACTTCATGATTTTAAATATCTTAGACTTGATGGCTCCACAAAAACTGAGGAAAGAGGTTCTTTGCTAAGGAAATTCAATGCTCCAGACTCTCCTTATTTCATGTTTCTTCTGAGCACTCGTGCAGGAGGTCTTGGTCTAAACTTACAAACAGCAGATACAGTGATAATTTTTGACAGCGACTGGAACCCCCAAATGGATCAACAGGCGGAGGATCGGGCACATCGCATTGGCCAAAAGAAGGAAGTGAGAGTTTTTGTGCTGGTTAGTGTTGGATCAATTGAAGAAGTTATCTTGGACCGTGCAAAACAGAAGATGGGCATTGATGCCAAGGTCATCCAGGCAGGGTTGTTCAATACAACTTCAACAGGTTTGTCTTAAAGGATGAACTTCTCGTAGCAACCCCCCCTTTTTTTTTCCTTTCCATTGTTTCATACACAAATTTGGTGCAGTTACTTACAATTGTTTTCTGGGGATCAGTTCATGAAGATATTTGCTTCTTTTCTTTCTTTTATTTCCTTTTTCTTTTGGTGGGGGCGTATATAGGAAGACAAACTACTGATTCGGTGGTTAAATGGATCATGCATTAAGGTCTAGACTTCCTTTTTCTTTTGGTGGGTGTTTGCCAGCATTAAGGTCTAGATTTTCCTGTCAAAACTCGGTTATTTCCTCTAGTGCATGCTAAATTGCTAATACTGAACTCACTATCTACTTATTTCGGTCCCCCCCCCCCCTCTTTTTGTAAGCTAATAGATGGCAAATTGGGGCATTTCAACTTTGTTTATGCAGCTCAAGACAGGAGAGAGATGTTGGAAGGGATCATGCGGAGAGGGACGAGTGCACTTGGAACAGATGTGCCAAGTGAGAGAGAGATCAATCGTCTAGCAGCCCGATCTGATGAGGAGTTCTGGCTGTTTGAGAAGATGGATGAGGAGAGAAGGCAAAAGGAGAATTACAGATCTCGTCTCATGGAAGAACACGAGGTACCAGATTGGGTGTACGTTGTGCCTGATAGCAAGGATGGCAAGGGGAAAGGATTTGAACATGATATTGGCAATCTCACTGGAAAGCGACGTAGAAAGGAGGTTGTCTATATCGATACACTCAGTGACTTACAATGGATGAAGGCTGTGGAATATGGAGAAGACGTATCTAAGCAGTCAGCGAAAGGAAAAAGGAGGGAGGATCCTCCTGTCATGAGCAATGAATTGACTAGCAATAATGGTGGAGGAGAGAAGGAAGCATCAGAATTGAAGGGTGAAACTGTGTCTATTGCAAGTGAGGCAATTAGTGAAGATACCTTTCCCACCTCAAAAAGGTCCAACTCTGAAGCGGTGAATTCCCTGAAGAGTGAATATGAATGTTTCGAAGATACAGCATGGAAGGGGCTGACATGGAAGCCACATAAGAGGAAGAGATCAAGTTTAGTGTCGTGAGTTAATCTAGTGGTCGCGATTAGAATTCTAACAGTGGGGATGAATGAATGTGAGTCTAATGGCCTACTTGGACACTACCATGGAGGGATTCGATAGTTCTTATCATCACATTGTAACTGCAGCTGCTATACTTACGTAAACGCCTCAAGGTTTAGTTGTGGCTATTGGTGTGTTGGCGTGCTCCCTGGTGCAGCAAGTATGAAAATGGCCTTCTTCCAGTTATGTTCTATGCTTTCTCCACCATTTCCATCAAAGTTACGATTTGTCGCAATGCCTGTGAGCCTTATGTTGACCATGTCAGGTGACATTTCTAAGCAGTCAGGAGTCTGAACTGTAACCATTTACTTAAAATTTAATGAGTTTTTTTTAGTGTATGCAATCAAATAAATGAGTTTGTATGTGCTATTTGCCTGTCAAACGGGGCGAGCCTTGGTGCAGTGATTGGATTACTCATTGTGATCTAAGTATCATTGGTTTGAGACATTAGAATCCGCCCTCAGTATTGGTCGTGTCCTTGGCGCCCACTCCCACGAATCAATTAGTGCCATATGTTCCACCACAGCAGTCTGATCCTTTAGTAGAGAAGATAAGTCGCCTTGAACGGACGGTTAACAAGTCGAGTGGAAACAAGTATGATGTTACAAATGTTGAGAATCTCTCTACACAAAGGATAAGGCGGCGCACATTTGACCATCTCCATATTACATAACTAGGTTACCAAGTTGGCCTATGTTACTTGAACCCGGATGAGTTGAAAGTGCTTTTATTTCAGTAATCCAAAATAACAATAAAAAGGCAGAAAAAACTCACCCCAAACTAGAGCTTTGGTTGATAAGAATCATGCTTCAATGTATATGGCACCAGAAAAATCCTTTAATGACCTCTGAGAGTCCAAAGCATATTAATTAATGAGAATGATCACCATTCTAGATCGCATTCACACTGGAGTTTTAAGACAACATCCAGCTGGATCACATGTATGGTTCAAGATCGCAATATCGTCTATCGACTCAAACAGGAAAATGCTGCAAAAACATTGAAAAAAAATGGACCAGTGCCACACAATCAAATGACATGGTAGACTTTGAGACACCATATCTTTAGTTTCCTAATACAACCAAAGATACTAGAGAAGTGGATAGTCACACACACACACACCCCACACACACAAAGAAATAAAAGATGGAGAAAATTAAATCCAAATGATCGAGAGCGCATGCCAAAAGACAGCATTGTTAGCTAATATAGCTAAAATAGCTATTACATAAGTTTCAAATAAGCTAAGCCAACATATAAAGGAAAAATATCATCCCATCGAAGATAAACCTACGGATGGGAGAATCTGTTAGCTTCGGCTGGAACCACTACAACTGCCCCAGCTCGTGCATAGCAAGATCCAACATAGCAGTAAAACAAATGATGAAATAAAGAGAAGAGTAATATCAATTTTTGATGTCACATCTGGATGGAGAACCCGATAAGCAACACCTGGTGTGAGAGAGCATCTAATCCTCTTGGTTGACATCAAGATTCTTTAGTTTTGATTCCAATTCATTCTCACTGCCTTCACCCGCGTCATTAGATTCTTCACCATCATCATCTCCTCCATCGGGGTCATTCTCATCAAAGGGCCCAAGCATGTCAGGAGACTTCTTGAATATATCTTTCAACTCATCAATGCCTACATCGGAGATATAATTCCCATTAATGTTCAGCAGCCTAAATTCAGGCTTATGCACCACAGCCCGAGCCAACATCCTAGCCCCAGCCCTACTTATAGAGTTGACGCTCATATCAACTTCCTTTAATTGGACATGGCCTTCTTCCAATGTCCTGCTGATCTGCATGACACCTTCATCCTTGAGCTCATTCTCAGCCAAGTTCAGCTTGGTGAGAAGCTGCTTCACCGCTATACAAGCAGCTAAGCTAGGAGCAGCTTCAGTAGTTATCTCATTTCCAGCCATCTCCAAGACTTCAAGTGCAGGGGCTGAATCCTTGAGAACATTGGCTATAGCGATTGCTCCCTCATCTTCCAAATTCAGGTAGCTCAAATAAATTTCTGTGAGATTTGCATTTTTAGAAAGAGCTTTACCCAGCAGAATACCAACTTCTACATTAAACATGTTGTCCCGCAGATCGAGTTTCTTCAGACGGGTACATGTCTCAAGTGCTTCAGATAAGGCAATTCCTCCTTCAGAACCTATCCTAGTAGAGGAACATCGGAAGTTTTCCAACAAGGGTGAACGTTTCACAACTTCAGAAATAGCAACAGCCCCTTCATCTCCAGTCATATTATTATGGAATTGGAGAATTTTAAGCTTCTCAGTGGAAGGAATTAGCTCACAAACAGCTCGTGCAGCTTCCTCCGAGATACCATCATTCATCAAATAAAGTTCCTCCAAACTACTCTGTGATTGCAGAAGCGTTCCAAATGCCCTGACACCCTTCTCCCCCAAGGCATTGTCAGAAAGGTTCAGAGACTTCAAGACACAACCTTCCAGAGCCGTTGAGAATATATTCATGACATCAAGGGCTTCAGCCTCAGATCTTCCTGCAACAAAATCTGACAGATCAACTTCCTTCAACTGATCCCTGAGGGATGCCAAGATGGGCTCTGCAACACGGGCTGCTCCTAAGCCAAAGCTTCTATTGCTGAAACATATCTTTGAGTAAGAATTTCCTGGCTCTTTCAATGGCTTTAGAAGTTCCTCAGCCTCCTCTGTTTCAATAAAGGCCCGCTGACCTTTCGATATGTCAAAAAAGGTTTCGTGGGCTGCATTAACTACCTCAGATTTCACAAACCCTTTGTCCTTGCTTCCAGGGCCCCTTTTAAGAACTTCCAGCATGAGCTTACTGCATTCCTTAGCATAAAGTTGCACTGCAGAACTTCCATCACCATCAGGCTCCTTTTCATAATGTTTATTTGCAGTTTCAAATGCTGCATCTTCGATTTGTTTGCCATTATCTGCAGCATCTTCTTTACTCAAACTGCCATACTTCTGGGTGAAAATAGTTTGATTTGAAAGATTGTTCGTCATACGCTCAACAAGCATTAATCGTGTGTTCTCACTTGGGGGCCACAGTTTGATTGAAAATGGTCGACGTTCTGAATTTGGTGCTGTGGCATCCATTCCAATGAAGACTGAAACAAGAGCTGCATTTTAAGTAATAATTACCAAAAAATATTGGAATCAAGACATGACAGAATACATACGATAAAACTAACCAGAAGAAAATACATACAAATTCTTGGGTTTATGTCAGCTAGAGATCCTAATCACATCATTAACGATTGACTACAAGTTTAATGATAACAAAAAAAAGAAATCAGAAAACTCTCTTGAGGTCTCTAAGCAAATCAAACTGCAATCAAAATAAGATAGCTGTGACGATAAAGAAGAGTTGGCCACTTCATTCACCACTTTTTCGCAAAAAACTCCACATCACACTATTTTCAAAAGAAAAAAACAACATTAAAGCCGCAAAATGGACAACATACAAACCAGGCTGCAAAAAGAATAAATATGGAACATCTGTCCAAGGCCTTCAGCTATTTAATATGAAAGGCTCTTTATTTCTTACAATGAAGCCAAGGCCTTTAGTCGCTTGTAGTTCAACATTCTCGCAATCAGTGCAAAATTTCAAAATCACATGTGATTACCAATTACAATTGATTTGCTGAAACCCTAATTTAACAGAGAAGGGGGTAGAAAGGAAAAGGTAATGACCCTAATCATACAAAGAACACTTAGAAGCATTTCAAAGTAATCAAAAATTACAAACTATTGAGCTCCTGCGCCAAATTTAATCATCGCTTACAATACGCTCTATGAGAAACATTTGAAAGCTAGTGGCATGATATTTCCTCCGGCACCCAAGCAGACAATTTTTTTTTTTCATTTTCAAGTTGATATGGCCATGAAGTTCAAAAGCCATCATGAGACTAGTAGTAGCAGCAAAAAAAAGTATCCTATAAAAAATGCCAACATAATCTGGAGGTTTTGATTATGATTTACAGTGTACATTTCAAGTCAACTAATCCAAAAATCCAACCACTTGGGTGATCTGCTCAATTATTTTCAAGCATTCAGCTCAACCAGGACCAGTCCTAAGATGAATCAAAAGTCACCAGATATTTCTGTATTGACAGAGTTGAAAAAGAAAGCCATCTCTTACTGCCATTTCACAGCTGTTTTCATTAGAAAAGCAGGGTAAAGCTGTCAAAAGTCATAATTTCATCCTCTTTGCCTCCCCACCATCGATCCATCCGCCCTGTCGGGTATGCAGGCAAGAAAGCAAAACAAAAATAAAACAGAGAAATGGCAATTTATCTTCTTCTTTTTTTTTTCTCTTCAACCATGTTACAATTTTCTACAGAAAATCACCTTTAATTTGAATCATATTAGATCCATCAACACCAGAACACCAATATCCCTTGAAATGGTCACCTGAACTCAACCCCACTTCTTGTCACGTCTTCTCCACACTAATATAATAGGGATTGCACAAATTTAAACTCAACTCAACAAAGCCTTGTTCCAACTTTTTTGGGATCGACTACCCATTTAAGGATTATTCAAGAAGTACATAGCCTTATCAATTTTATTTTCTAGAATGAAACCCAACAAATTTGAAGTCAATGCCATGATTACACCAAACACAAATGCACGGCCATCATATGTACTCGCACCCAACCCCACACGAACATGAATGTGTACAACAATGTGTAAGGGTCTACTCTCATAGATACTTGCACAAGATCTCAGTTCAAAATGAACTGAAATATATCATACACAGTTGATAAAACAGAGTCATTACTATCAATAGCACCATAAAGATTCAAAATTTGAACATGTAATGCAACAGATCGATGGAAAAACAGAAACTTTACCAAGTCGAGAAAACTGAAGTTGAAAAATAGAAGAATAGGAAGAAACAGAGACCCTTAAAACCCTAGAAATGGGACAAGAAAAAAAGTTAGATAAATACCCTTTTCCCAATTTCTTGTCTTTGATTCTTTGGCCTGTGTGGCTGTGCAATTACGCTATGTATGGACCCAAGGAATGAGAGAGAGAGAGAGAGAGAGCTCTGAATCTTTACTGAAAGTGAGGGTATGAATATGAGTGAGGAGTCAACAGTGGGGTTTTTTTTTTTTTAATCTAAAGCAGCCTTCAGTTTGAAAAAACTGTTTGGAAAGTAAGAAAGGGTTGGAATAATTGAGAAAATGGCCTCTGGACAGAACTCACTAAACTTCTTGTTAAAAATGTATAAAAAGAAATTCAATTAACCAAATATTCTTTCTTATTTTGGAAGTTAAAAGAGTGACAATCATGTCGTGTGAATTGTGTTTGTGTTTGTGTTTGTGTCATATTATTCACATATTTGTGTCGAATAATAATCAATTCAAATTCAACTTATTTAACTAATTGTGTCGATTTAATGAATTTATTTTCGTATCATATTTGTAGTAATACATATAACTTGTAAATTAAAAATTAACACTAAGATTTAAATATAAAATTTCATTGTCTTTTAATTGAATTTATGCTCATATTTTTTTTATAAATTAAAATTTAATTTATTAAATATAATAATAATAAAAAATAAAAAATTCCCCAGTTGTATAATAATTATTAGGGGTGCAATTCGAGCAGGTTGAGAGATTAATTCTAGTCTTACATTAGGTATGTAATATTCAACCCTAACCCCCCACTTCAACCTTAGTACTACCCCAAGTTTAATTCGAGTAGACTTGAGTTGAATTCAAGTTATTTAATTCGTGCTGATTTCAGGTTAAAAATCAGATTGGGCTTGAGTTATTTACTTCAGGTTGATTTTTTGAAGTGTAGATCTAATTTTTTTTAAGTGTAGATCTAATTTTTTCAAGTGATCTGAGATGAAGGATAAGACACAAATAAAGAGAGAGGGAGTGACAGAATGAGGAGTGACAAGTGAAAGAAGGTGACTGAGAGTCTGAGATAACTCAGAAGAGTGACGATTGAGAGAGAGAGAAGTGACGAGTGAGAGAGAGATCTGAAAGTGATGGAGACACATGAGTGAAGATTTGAAGTGAAATGAAAGTCTAGACTCTAAAGAGTGAAGATAAATACTAACTTTATTTAAATATATTTATACATGTATGTATATTCGGGTTCAACCTGATTTAATATTCGGGTTGAACGCCTCAACCCGAAGCTTATCCAAATTTAATTCGGATTGAATTTTTTTGCTCAAAATCAATCCAAGTATTATAAATTCTAACTCAAACCCTGTTTTTTCCGGGTTAATTCGTCCAAGTTGCATCCCTAATGATTATGTTGATAATTGATGAAAAATAACAAAAATCTAGCATGTTATTTCTGTAATACTAGTTAAACATATTATTCGTGTATGATATTAATCCAACTTATTTATTATTTGAATTAATAAATTATATCAAATTTATATTAAATAATGACATTAATTTTGTATTAAATTTATTTCGTGTCAGAAATTATCACCAACTTCATCTTCACTGAAAGCTACCAAACGACCGCAAATCTAGGACAGCCCCATGGAATGGCACTGCCTCATACACGCTGCACATGACTCTTGTCAGTAGAAATATCTTTTCATGAATTTTTTTATGTTTAGTATTAATAAAAGTGGAAGGAAAAAAAAAAATGTGTGTATACATATTTTACTAATATATCCTTTACATAAAAGTAGTTTATCTATTATATTTAGTAATATCTATATAATAAAACAGTTAAATATTTAAAATTTTATCTCATATATATTGTTTTTTTTAAAACTATCTCATCATCCATTTTTATCATATATTTAATTATTTAATATTTGATTAATTTATAATTGAACATAATTTTTATTTTATATATTATTCATATACGATAATATACATATACTGAAAAAATTTGTCAGATTACATATTTTTATCAATATTTTTAAAAAAATAATGCATAAAAATAAATTTTAAATAATGTAATCAAATAAATGAAAGGAAGAAAAATTATTATTTAATATAGTGAGATTGATTTTTTGGACGCTCAAATTTTTTGTTTTATCGTGCTTTTTAGGCACAGGTTATATATATATATAAATCTTCATTAATAGAGATGTCGTCACCTTTAAGAGTGATATATTTCTAAAAATCTATAAAGTCATCATCATAATCAATAGGAGTGAATGTTTTTTTATCGTTTTCTTCAACTTTATTTTTTTCTTTGTCTTTTATGGCAACTGTAGGAGTATTAGCGATATTCATTTTTTTCATTGAATTCCAAATGTAAACATCATCTGAAGACATCATTCTTCCATAATTGCTGCTTTAAGCTGCTCAGTATTTAAATGAGATTTTTCTTTTTTAATTTGTTCTTTAAAAACTTCAACGGGATTAAATTTAATATTTATACTAGTAGTGGGAATTATAGCTGTAGAGGTTGAAACTTTTTGTTCCTCTTTTCCTATGTCTTTAAGACATTTCACTATGACTTGACATTTAGATTCAAGTGGATAATTATTTTATTGAAATGAATATGATATTTTCTGATTAATCGGGATATCCATTATGATTAAAATCACAAGCCAAAGTCCACACTCAAATCCATAGAATAAAGAATTCGAGTGAAAAATTGATAATTGGCTTAGCATTATCTTTTAAAGATGGATTTTTGTCTTTGTACAAGTCAAATAAATTTTGTATAGGTTCATAAGGATATATACTTTTAATAACATCAAGAAAGACATAAGATTTTTCATTAGTAAAATTAGATTCCATATATAGAGGTGATGTTAAAGGTATAGGGATTCTTAAGAGAGATTTTTCTCTTGTAATAATGTCTTTACTGTCATTTTTATATGACAAATTTTCTTCAAGAAATTGATTAGTAACAGTTTTAAGCAGTTTAGAGGAATAATAAGCATCTTTATATACAACATATGCATTATCGGATGAATAAAGTGCATTTTTATATGCGTCAATTGAATCAGGTTGACAATATGCATGTTTATATGCATAGATTGAGGTTCCTATCAAAATTCCTCCAATCATCTCTTTTATGAGATTGCTAAAATCATCGGAGACTATATTCTCCATCCAGTGTTTTATTCTCCAATCAAAATACCATTCATTGGTCTCAAGAAGGAGACGAAAGTTAGAAGAGTCTTCATTAGCCCTTGCAATTCTTAGTAGCAAAATAGAAATATGATCAATTAATTGATCTTTCATAGCATTGCAGTAAGACACCAAAGGAAAACCCTGCAAGAATTAATGTGTCAGGTAAAGGTAAAGGTAAAAATATCTTCACCTAGATAATTACAAATACAGTAAAGAAGTTATGGAGATTTGACAATAAGGGTCAAAGGAAATAAATCTTTACTAGGATTCATCTTTGCAACTTCTTGCTTGTGGTTTGCAACAAAACTCTCAGGAGGGTTAGAATAAAAATAATTTTCTTTTATTTGATTTATCAATTTTATTTGAGGTGGAGTTATAAACTCAAATAAAATTTGTTGATAATTTATGGTAGTCAAAATTCATTTAGAGTCAATTTTCTCTATTGGTTTAATTAAAGATAAAAATGGTTTACCCAAAATTACTAATTGATTTAAATTATCAGTAAGTATAAAAGTTGTAGGATTACAAATTCCTTCATTACATATATAAATATTAGAAAGTTTAAAGTTTTTATTTAATTTTGAACCATCAGCAGTACTTACTTACTAAGTAGTTTTTTCAAAATATTTTGTTGGAATTAATCCTGCCTTTATGCAATTTATATCTGCTCCGCTATCAATTAAGGTAATTGTTTCAACAGTAAATTTAGAATTTATTACTAATACTAATACTAATATAATTTTAAAATACCATTTTTGATAAGTTTTTTTTTCTAATACATTTAAGTATTTATGAGAAGAGTTTACTTCTTTAGTATCTTTTTCTTTAGTTGGCATTTTCTCTAAGGCCAAAAGCCTTTGCTTTATTGTTTTTATCTCACCTTTAAGGTGATGAATTATGGTCTTGAACAAAAGTTGAGGAAATTTCCTTTATTTGAGACTTATCAAACATCATATGTTATGTCCTATTAAGAACTTCTTCTAGTGAATAAGGTTGAGATATTGATGGTCTCTTATCTTCTGGATTTATCTCCAAATATTATTTAATAGTTTTTTTTTTTAGAATCTGGATCTTGAATTTTATCTATAAGATCAAGAATTAAATTTTGTGACTTAGTCAAAAGTATTTATACTTAATTCATTAGTCAAATTTAATTTAGTTAAAATACTTGGACTTATCCTGATTTTATCTCATTCAGGATTAATTTCATCAAATGACGACATGTAAAAATTATTTGAATATTTCTTTTTAACAACTGGTTTATCAGAATATTCATGTCTATCAATTATTAAAGTCTTATCTTCCTGAATATCTTGGGTAGGTATAGTTTTAGAATACTCCTCATTAAAGGACAGAGTTGTTACACCTGAATTTTTCACCTGATATGTGGAGGTTACATGTTCCTCCTGTAATTGTATTCTATCTTGTTTAGAATTTTCTACAGCCAACAAAGAACTTTTATCATTATTAGACAACTTGTCTCCTACAAATAAATCATCTAAAATTTCTTCATTATGATTAAAATCTTTTTTTAAGACCAATTCTTTTATGAATTCATTTTCTACCTTAAAGGTTGAAGAATTATTAATCAGTGGTTCAAAGGGTAGAACTGTTGGATTTCAGTTTTAGATTGCTTTATAGTTGGAGCAATTGATTTTGATGGTAATTTTTTTAATCATTTCTTAAGTTCATTTATGAACTCAATTTCTTCAATATTTGGAAGGTTAGCAACAATTTTAGTATTAAATGAATATTTATTAATTTCATTTAACTGATATGCGTTACATGATTCCTTTATCAACTGTAATTCTCTTGGGTGAAAAT